ATAGTTCAAAATAAATAAAATAATACTTTACCAATCTCGCACAAATGGTTAAAAACACGATTACTACTATTCAATGCAGCTTCATGAATCGGATAATTACCAACATCACTTCGTAAACATAAACAAGCATGATTGTTAGTCTAGAAATTTTTTTGAGTACAATATTATAAGAAAATATTTGAATGAATAATTACAAGTATTTTAGTTGCTTCGACATTATCGATTAAAGCAGCATAATGAAGTGGTGTCTTTTTCCTTTCACCAGGAAGATCGACTTGATAGGGATGCTTGGAAATAATTATCTGAAATTAAAAGAAGCACACAAAATAGAATTTTATTTCTTAAGTTTTAACCAATATTTTATAACTGTAATTACCTTGAGTGCATCCAGCCGATTGTGTATAATAGCTAAATGTATAGGTGCATTTTGTTGTTTATTCAATCGAGCACTATCAACTCCATGTTCCAAAAGAAATTTAATAGCATTCAATGCATTACTTTGTACAGCATGATGCAACGGTGTCCATCCATTCTTATCTTCAATATTCAAATCTAAAATATTTTAATTAAAAGAATATTTTTTTCAAGATCATTGATCTTACCTCCATGATATCGGACAATTAAAGTTAAAATACCTACTCGATTTCGTGCAGCAGCATTATGTGCTGCACAAAGACCAGCAGGAGAAAATATGGTTAATTTTGATGGATCGTTCTTGATAAGTTGTTCGAAGTCTTGTACATTTCCAGTTTCAGCTAGCTTAAATATGTATGTATATATATAGTTTAACATTAGAAGAAACAGATGAATATCCATCTTACTTGAGTCACATAATGTGAACTTTTAGAAACTAAACATATATCATATTTTGGTATATCTGGTAATATTACAGCTGTTTCAGCTGAGTTGATTAATATAGTTGAAAGATTTGTCATTTCATTATCTAATGGAGAACGAAATATAGCATCTCAAAAAATTGTTGAAAGTTGAGTAATAAATCGTTGTTGACTATTTTTGTCCATTGACAACTTTAGATCACTGTTTTTTTATGAAAATAAAAATGGTTAATGCATGAAATATTTGAAATTTAAATTTTCTTCATACAAAAGAAATATTTATGCTATGATTGAATCTAAAATTGAAGAATGCATTAGGGGTTTTTTCTATATTAGAATCACCTTTAGTTTGTATATGAATAAATTATGATTCTCTAAAATTCTTTTTTCTCTATAATCATTTTCACAAAATAGAAAAACTAGATAAATGATCTTCAGTTTTTGTTTCTGTGATAGTAGTGATCTATTCTGGTTTATTAACGTGATCGTAGCCTTCGTCTTCTTAAGAAAAAGGAACTCTGTCCAACATACATACACTTATATGTCTAAATGATTTGTGACATGTATTACAATAGAATATACTATGTTAACTATAAAAATATTGTTATTGTCTATTATCATTTCAATATATTGCGTCGAGATATGTAACTATTACTAAGAAAAAGAATCTGTATGACATACCTGCATACTTATTATCATAGATTACTGATTTTTATTAGTATGAATATATGGAAAACGAATTAATAGTTATTTGCGTGTCGTACTATTTTCTTTTCTGAATGTCACAAAGGAAATATAAATCTGTAAATATATTTCTGATCTTGTAGTGTTTTCATCCCTAAGAGACAGACATAAAGTGCAAACTGTAGCTATATTAACTCCTCATGCTGTTTGAGTTATTAATGGACGAGAAGTACGAATGCTCATGTTATATGCACCAGCTGGATTTGAATCATTTCTTAGCGAAATGAAAATATTTACTGATGCTCAATTTGCTAATAAAAAGTTCATGAAAACAATCGATGAGAAATATGATAATATTCATTTAGAATAAGTACTCCTTTTAATTCTAAAATAATGTACCTAAAGAATTGATGTACTGCTCTTTTATATCAATATAATGATTAGAGCATATGAGTTTGAAACAGAGATGTCCATGGCGGTGCGGCAGCAGTACCTACTACAAGGAATAAATTTTAAAACCCTATGTATATCAACATAATTTCGATATTTATGCATGGTACACTAGGACTTGACCGATTAGCAGCAGTAGGTTTAGTTTAAACCAGTCAGAGCTTTGAAAATCGAGAGATTTTAAGGGGCAGATGTTGTTAAATAATTTTTTCTTCACTTCCCTTTACATCCACACCCTGTTTCTTTGTCTTCTTTTCTCTCTTGCTATTAGAGAAATAAACAGAGAAAGGTCATTGAATATTTGCATTGTTTTCTCTTGCCGGACATGTTTGGAAAGACTATTATAGCATTTATTGAAAAGTTCATATATAATCGTTCAATTTCATTTGTTTAATACATATTTAATAAAATTTGGTAAGTATTCGAAATATATGTAAGTAATAGTAGAATTTCAGGAAATGATCGACATTATTTTTATTATTTATAATAATTCTATTACGGAATGAAAGAAAAGAACAATAACACAATTCATCATTTCTCTCATGAATGAAATACAACCTCCGTTGTTTCTTGAAAATTTTAAAAGTAAAAATTGATTTTTCTATTCAATTTCGAAAGTATATCGATTAGTTGAACATTTTGTTTTATTAAAAAATAAAAATATAAATAACTAACAATAGATAAGTAAGAATTAAGAAGTAAATTGTTGTTTTTTTTAATGAGTTCATTTCAAGTTTATATATAAATTGTCAAATAATGAAATATTTTCTTTAATGATTATTTGATGTCGAACACAAAAACTACTTTATATTTTTTTTAATAAGACAAGGTTTTGATTTATTTAGAGAATATCAACAACATAGTTGACACTAAGTTTAATATTGGTCTACATAGAAGAATATTGTAATCCTTTCAATTGCACAAAAATAATCAATGGCAACAATTCATTCATTTCCTGTTCATCAAACACGTTCATGTATGACAAATACTTCTATATTATCTTATTTCAATCATTTTGGGTATAATTTTCATCTGAAACTTCATTAATAACGTATATTTCTTTAGATTCAGAACAAAAATGAGTCGCTTATTTACCTGGTTTATTCGATTACAAGTTGTATACTTTGTGTTGTTATTCATATCTGTTGGTTTCCGTTTCTTTCCACAGATAGCAGCGCCGGATGACAAAGAACCATTAACATTTATAATTAACGATTCGGTAGTAGTGTATACGAAACTTCAATCAACTTTTGCAAGTAAATACTGAAGTTCAATTGATTAAGAAAAAAAAATGTATAAGTTAAATGTACAAAAGAATTCTTTTACTTATTAAAGAAAACAAGCAATGTAAAAGAGAAACATTTTGAAGTGATTCTATAATCAGTTATTTGATGAATTATTTTATTTAATAGATCATTTATTCCTATCGGTCAATACTTGTATCTGATTTTTTTTGATGATATTATTTCTTTTATTGTAGGACGATGTTTTCTATCATTAACAGTCCCTGTCAATATTAATAATTACATAAATATGACTCGTATCAATGTAATTTTGTGTTGTATCAATCTCGGTTTAGTTATTTGGATTCAACATATTATTCATGACGTTCCTTCGAAATATCTTCAAAATCCTTACCGATGGTTCTGTTGGGGTCGAAAAATATTAATCATGTTTGTCATTTCCAATATCGTCAATCAAATCATTAGTGGTACTGCTTGTCGATCAATCGAAATTCTATATGACTTTCGATATATGTCAATGATTATAGTACAATTATTTGATCCCATTATGTGCATCTTTTTTTCATTTTTCCTTGGTGTCAAATTTGCATCGATCAGGTTTGTAAACTGATTATTAATTTTAGTTAAATGAACTGCTTTTATTTTAATCTGTTTTTTGTTTTTTATCAAAATACCACATCCAGCTTATAAATAAAATTAAAAAACGTAAGCACGAAAATATCACCTCACAACATACATAGACATATAACCCGAAAAGATCTTTTACAAAATCCGTAGTAACTAAAAAAGTTATCACTCCTGCACACACATTTAAGAGTTTTATTACTGTAACATCACGAGTTTTGTACTTGACGTCTATGAATAATCCAACTAATATCGTAATAACAGCTACTATTGCCTGAATATTTCTAACTATTTTTGTGTATAAAAGCACCTCGTTTGTCACCAATACCCGTACTAGTTGAGCTATAAACACACCAACTGGTAGTATCAAGCAGCAAGTGATCTTGAAAATTCACCAAACTAGAAACTTGGTGTTTTGAATAATTGTCATTTGAAGTTGTTTTATTTAATAAAGTGATGTACACCCATGTTAATCATTCCGGCTGTCGGAAATGGCGTCTTAAACCGTCTGAAATGACCATAAAACGGCGTTTTGCTGCAATATTTATAATTGTATTTCACCGTAATCCGTCAACCCGGAATACGGGCCGTCGTTTTGAAATCGTATTTTACCGGTTTTGTACCGTTTAAGGTTGTTGTCTTTGCCCTGGACAGTAAAAGAAAGTTTTCGTTCTATGTATATATATATTTATTCTCTTCGATCTCTCTCTTTCTCTTCTGAACAAAAATTTTCAATTACCATACGTCACTTTCATGAAACAAGGAACAAAACGATCGACTTATTCCATCTTGTCATGATGATAAATATATTTCAATTGATAAAAATTTTTATTTACGAGATAGTTTTTTGGAAACAGTGAAATATAATCCCACGAATAGATTTATGATTAAAACGATTGACTCTTTTTTAGCAGAAAAACTATGACAACAATTCAACTGCTTTCTGTTCAAAAACATTCATCGATGAATAGTAATTCAATATTCAACTTTTTCAAACAATTCGGGTATGATTTTTATGAAAACCTTTAAGAGAATATATTTTGATGACAACAAGACATTTTTCTGTATTTTTTTATCGCATTCGTACTCATCAGATAGATTTATACAATCTTCTTACGGAGTAGAAAGTGAATGTATTTGAGAGTTCAAAAATATGTAATAATACACCAATAACGCTTGTCCGAGGACTAGCTTAGCTATTTCTCGTAAAAATGCATCCGCTTCACATTTACTGGAAGAACAACTGAAAACCGTGGAAAAAATAGTTTTCGATGTTTTTTTGACCTCATCCACTCCCCTACCAAGGTCACCCAACAGACCTCAGATTCGAAATCCGAGTATCGAATTACCTCTAGAATTGTCTTTTCTCGAAAATCGGTCTTCGATGTTTTTTTTTTTGACCCTGTGGACACACAAGCAATCAAACAGACAATTCATGTTTACTGGACTCTTCTCTACAAGAAAGAGAATGATTTTGTTGACTTCTGTCTTTATATTGTTTATAAAATCTGGACAAATGATTTCTATGATTAAACAGAATATTTTATTTAGATTCAAGACAAAGATACGCCGCCTTTTTACTTGGTATCTTCGAATACGATTTGTGCACGTTTTGATATTCATATCATGTATAGCATTCTGCATCTGGCCACAACTAGTCACTAGAAGAACTGAAAATACCGGTGAATTAGCATTGTCCAAAATGAATCTATCAAGATTGTATACACCATACGAATTTGCTCTTGCAAGTAAGTCATTATATTGATGTTATTTAAGTATGAGAATATTTTCTAGATTTAACAAAAAAAGTCGTTCTTTTTTTGTAAAATAATCATTTATGCCAAAAAAAATGTATTCTAACAAGCAGAACCATAGTTTTCTTTAACAGTTATATTGAAATTTATGAAAACTTTGTTTTTTTTGTTCCATGTTTGAAATATGGATTTGAGAAAATAAGGTTTATCTGCTTTTACAGCTCATTAAACATAGTTTTCTGATAAAAGCATAAGGAAGTGAAATAGAAATTTTTCGAAGGAACACAAACCTGTAATATACAACAATATAGTTCGAAAACTAATCTCGATTTTATTCTTTACAAATATTATTCGTTGTTCATCCTCACAAATTATGTTATTATAAATTTATGAGATAATCTTCATAGATAACCACGTGGAAACAATACGATGTAAACGTTTAGAAGAAAATAAGAAATAATATTCTATTCTATCAACTGATTAAATTTCTAATTCATATTTGAACAAAATTATCTAGTATATTTTCTTGTGAGTTAAAGAAAGTTGTGATCAGATTAAGTTCATCCACACTCATCTATGCTATCGATATTACTTGAAAATCCGACAAAACTATATCTGAAAGCTTTAAAATTGATGTGATTGAGTAAAAGACAGTTTCAATTAAAATCTATAAAAGAAAAATGAAACATTAAAAATATGTATATGATCTTTTTGAGATAGAAAAACCTTCAATAGATCATTTTTATATAATGGAAATATTCTTTGGAAAAGAAACCCATTGAAAGCTTTATCTGAGTAAATCTTTTCGTATGAATTTTAATTTTCATCTTATTATTTCCTTTTAGCCCGATGTTTATTATCACCAACAACAACGTTTATTGACAATATTAGCAGTTACACATATATAAGTAATATCAACAACACTGTATGTTGTATCTCTCTGTTCTTGATCTATTTGATTCAATCATTTTTTAACAATGTTTCGTCCAAATATCTTAGAAATCATTATCAATGGTTCTGCTGGGGTCGACAAATACTCGTAATTTTTGTTGGCTTCTCTATTTTGAATCAAATGGCTAGTGCCAGTGCTTGTAGACCAATCGAAATTTTGTATGACATTCACCATATAGTGATGTTCATACTACAATTGTTCAACTTTCTTAACTGTATTGGTTTTGCTTTCTTTCTTGGTGTTAAATATGCATCAGTGAGACGTGAACACCGACTGTCAGCATATGAGTAATAAGTTGTAGAAATGTACGATGATAAAATCTTTCTCTATAAATATAGAAAATAATAAAAAGCCTACTGTTTGTTTTTGTTTGCACTATTAAATCGATACTTTTCATCAATATTACGTTTAACCCATAGTAAATAAATATATGTATTGAAAAATCATCATGTTTCGGCAAAAAAAATCGAAGAATCAATCTAAACATCATTTATATCGAATTATTTACTAAATATTGTAAAATTTTAAAAAGTCATATTTTATTTTGTATGAGGTTGATTAATGTGTATTAGTTATGCAACTTATAAAAAAAATTAACAGATGTTTATATTCCCAGCTTTATAGAAACGCTAATCAACTAACATGATATGAGCAACCGATTCTTTTATACCAAATGCAATTAAAAATCAAACGACATTGTCGATTTCGACGGTTTCTAATTTTTCCTCTTCTTTCGATCATTGTATTCTTTATTTTGATCAAATCTTTCATCTATTCACCATCAAATCTTGATTTTATTGAACTAAACTCGTGTCCTGCTTGCTTTGGTGTTCATCTTTGTCCTCTTTTTGGAACTCATCATGTACAATTATCAGGTTTAATAACAACAATAACAATTATTTATTATCTATCACTATTCATATAGGTTGGCAACGTTTTTCTTTCTTCAACAATGATATGTTTAATGTTAAAAATATTTATCATGGTACATTACATAATCATTCAGTTATTTTCAAGAAAATGGCTCATCAAAGTGAATGGATTACATTTGATAATTGTCATTACAAATCATCATGTTTTCGTCATCTGAAATCACCTTTATCAACACTTCTACCTTGTTCAAATACAACATTTATTTCCAAATTTCGAAATGCGTAACTCAATAAATATATGATTTATGTAAACAAGCGATTTATTTTATCATTAAATAGATTTATTCTGTCAACTGATTTTGATCCCAATGACAGTGAAATATCATTTCAAGTAACAAGTCAAATAAATCTTGAACCCATTGTTTTATCCGTACAAATAGACGAAGATATATAATGTATAAATATTGATGATTATATTTATTTATAGAGTTTATCCGGTAGTGGACTTCCATTTCCATTCTATTATGGTTCTTGTGGTCGAGTGGTAGTTGTGAGTGATGAAGGATCAGACTTAGTTTCTTATCTTCATTCATCATTTCAATTTCGTGTGAGTTTTTTTCATATGATCGAATTCAATAAATGTCAATTGATAATCAATTAGTCTTATGATATTTTTCTAGGCATTTCTCGCTCGAGAATTACTTATTTCCATGTATGAATTGAACAATAATAATTCAGAAATGATTATTTATTATCCTGATGTGAATCTGGAAAATTTTGTTTATAATGAATATGAACGACGTGTAAAAATCATTGATTTAGAATTGGTAATTATTGTTGAACGAGAATTCTTCTTAGAAAAGGATAATAAAAATACATTGAGTGGTAATCAATACTGTAGAACATATATGCCTGACTTTAATATTGAACAAGGTAATATTAAAAGTAAAACTTTCTTTATTTTGATAGAATGTATACTTTAGTTTGTCGCTATATCTTATCAAAACCTAGTAAAACAAATGAATTAGAAATGTCAAGTGATTTTCTACATGATATTCCTGATGGTATTGATCATGAAGTAAATCTATCCAAGACAATTCTAGCATGTGTTGAAGCTAAATCAAGCAGTGAACGACTAGCTATTTATAATAAACTTCTTGATATTTTAAGTAAAATTATATAAAATTTGTCAATTGAGTGAGAGGACGCTGAATGTCTATCAATGATTTAATCGATGTCAAGCGATTGGTTTAATAATATTTGAATCACCAACTAATCATATGATAACATATTAATAATATATATCTAAAAAAACAGATAAATAATGAAATTTAATATGTAAAGAAAATATTTTTTCTTTTTTCGTTTCTGTTGTCATTTTATTTTAATAAAAATCTATCAAAATTATATTATCTCTATAGTATAGATGACAACTTGACAGCTGTTAGATGACTAAAGATAGAATAAAAGATTTACAACATGTTGTAAGATCAATCTCGTTGTTTTCTTTTTAATCATTTTTTTTTATCTTTTCTATTTGAAAGAATCCACGGCCAGATGTATCATATGAAAGACTATCACAACAAGTATTAATATTCTATCTGCACATAAAATGCACACAGCTTACAGGGCAGTATAACAATTATCTTAACGAATAACAAGCAATATTAAACAAATACATGTTATGTGTATATTTGCTTATCTAATATTGGTTTCTTATGCATATATAATTTGCTTATGTTACATTCACTATATTAATAAAAAAAACGATTCAATTTCATTTTCTTCATAGTTTCCAAAGGATGAAGCTCAAAATCAATCTGACACTACAAATAATCAATCGACTATAATTGATGTTGAGAAAGAATCTGACATCAAAGAATTCTTAAATGAAGTATATATTCAACTTTCGTTTTATATAGTTCAAAGATATATAAAATTTGATCTTTCTATTAGATTGAAACTATTCAATCAGTTATTGATAGACTTGATAAACTTACAGAACAAGTGAAACAAATTCAGTTTACAATGCTACAACCTACAGCAAATCCAAGTATAAAATAAAACTATTCAATATGATTTAAATTTTTTCTTTTTGAATTAGAATCAGGACAAGAACTTGATAATAAAACCGAAGAAATTAAAAAATTATCATATGAAACATCTGCGAAATTAAAAAGTATTAAAAACCAAAGAATAATGATTAATTGATATTCATTTTTCTTGTATAGAAATGGAACAATCATTAGAACATCAGTCTGGTTTTGATATAACAAATGCTCAACGACGTATAAAAGAATCACATTTATTTGTATTAACAAGACATTTTCGTAATGTAATGATAGAATATAATCAAGAAGCGGTTTTACATCGTGAACGATGTACAAAAGCGATTTCTCGTCAACTTGAAATGTGTAAGTTATATACATAATTTATGCTAAAAGAAAATTTTATTATAAATATTTTACAGAAATTAAATTATTAATAAGTTGGATTGAGGAAATGTTTACAAATAAAAATTTCGATGAAAGATACAGCGAGTGACAAAGTAGATATTAGTAGTTGACTTTCGATCTGTTTTCTTTCATACTTAACACATCGAAATCGAAACTAAATAGTTCGGTGTTGGCACATATGTATTCATCATTATTTATAAACCGGTTTAGGACAGTTACTCGCTAGGGTGTGGGTGTGGGTGTTGAAACAATAGAACACTCACATCCAAACCGGTAACCATACTCATGCTGACACCTACGCCCACATCCATGCCTACACCCTCACCCACACAGACATTCATACCCGCATCCTCACGCACACCCACACTCACATCCACCCCACAATCACATCCACCTCACACCCACATCCACCCCACACCCACACCCTCATTAATTCTTTTAGCTTTAGTTGACAATAAATATGATATAATCGAAATTTTTCATACTTTCATCTTTAACTTTCATTTTTATTTCTTATTTAAATATGAAAATAATTTTATCTTAGAATTAGATAATCAAAATCTCACTTATCTCAGCTTAAGATTTTTGATATTCTTGTTTGCTATGAAATTGATTTATAATTCATTCTTTTCTTTTCATAGCTGGAGTTAGAAAAAGTCATGATGAATTAGAAGAAATCCTCGAAAATGGTTCTTCAGGAACTTTTGATTTTTCTGTAGGTTTGATATTTTATCAAGAACTAATAATTCATTAAATTGAAATATATAGATTATGGTTAAAACTCAACAAGCACAACAATCATTAAATGAAATTGAAGCACGTCATCGCGATATAATTAAAATTGAAACGTCTATTAAAGAATTACATAATATGTTTCGTGATTTAGCTATTCTTGTTGCCGATCAGGTAGAATAGATTTTATATATTTCTATAATTTATTGCTCATATTAAGGGTGAAATGATTGATTCTATTGAACATAATGTTGCAAAAGCAGCGAATTATGTTGAAGTTGCAGCAAAAGATGTAAATATTGTCACTCAATATGTACAAAACATTAGAAAAGTAAAATATTTTATTATATATAATCTATATTCATCAGTTTTTTTTCTTATAGAAAAAATTTATTCTTGTTACACTTATTGTATCCGTTAGTGTGGTTTTTATTCTTATCACTATATTTATTGGTTCTTTTTTACGAAAGAAAACTACAGCAAAATAAATATATATTTGATAATTAATAATTCATTTTTATATAGTACTATAGTTTCTCACATAGATTAACAAAAATATTTGTATTATTTTTATCTTTTAATAATATAAAAAAGAAATAAAATCAATAAAAATCAATAAATACGAAGCATTTTCGAATTTTATCACAGTTTGGAATCTACACGTGGTCTAAAAAAGAATAATAATAATTGTTTTTCGAAATAATATTTATCAAAAAAAAAGAATAGTTTACTTAGTGAATGCGGCAAGACGATAGATACCAACAACACATGCACCACCTAAACCAATATTATGTTGAAGTGCAATACGAGCATTTTTAACTTGTCGTTTATCAGCCTGATTACGTAATTGCCAACAAAGTTCCGCACACTGTGCTAAACCTGTAGCACCCAATGGATGACCTTTAGAAATTAAACCACCACTTGGATTAACAACACATTTTCCACCATAGGTATTATCACCTCGTTCGACATATTCTCCAGCTTTTCCTAGATTAATTTTTTTTTATTGTATACATTTCATATTTATAAATGAATATTTACCTTCTCCGCAAAGACCAAGAGCTTCATATGTAATAAGTTCATTAGCAGAAAAACAATCTAAAAAGATAAAGTTACTTTTTAGCTACCATGAACGTTTTTTTTAGTATTCGACACAAGAATTCGAAGTCTATTCTTTATAGGCTATAAATAATTACTACAATTCAATTCGATTCGATCTGAATTAAAAGCCAGTTAGAACTTGAGCACCATAGGGTGCCTAATAAGATTATATGCTGAGAGACTATCATAGTCAGACAGAAAAACATTTCCTAGAAACTATGTAGGATGCAATAACAACCTTTATAATCATTAAAAGCTTTTAATTCTTTTATCTTGAAAGACGAAGAACCCTATTGACTTATGTTTGATCCGTATTAGAGTTATTACGTATTTTTTTTACGAAATTATAATTTTGAAATACTTTTTATTAGTTTAATATAGTGCAAGTAGATTTGTTGACAACATTTACTCATATCAGACGATATTTAGCAAACAACACATACAAAAAGGTAAAAAATACTTTTATCAAGATTTTAAATATCGCCTGACTATGATAAGAAACATACCAGGCTAGCTTTTTCTTTGATATATATAACAGCACATCATGAGGTCAAAAATTACGAGTACTAGTATGTACTTTTATAATTTTATCAAGTAACAAATATCTTTAAACTATCATTCTATGGGAATTATTCTTCTAATTTTAAAATAGATTACCATGTAATTCAACTACTTGTACATCGCTTGGTTTGACACCAGCTTTAGCATAAGCTTTGTCAGCAGCCTTTTTACTCATATCATAACCGACCTATATAAATCATAAATAAATTTTCATTAAATTTAATTATCAAAAGAAAAACTCTTACAATTCGCATACAATCATTTGAATCAAATGTTGATGCCAT